GTAGAGTTTGTAATTTTCCCAAGCGTGGAGCATCATCTGGAAAGAGTGGATAAAATATAATGAATGTTAGAGGTTTTGCAAATGGTTAGTAGCGCACCGGGAACCAATGACTAGTATAATAGGGAACTTAAAAATATTTAAAATTACGAAATAATATAATCAGACTGTAGAGAAAATGTGGGAAAGGCTCTTGTAGTGAAGTAACCTTTGAGTTTACATATGGGAGGTTCAATGAGGAAAAGTGAACCTTAGTGCAAAAATTATTATTATTTTTTATATAAAACTAACAAACGTGTGCATAAGATATTTGTAAACATCGTGAATCAACCGAAACATAACAAATTAAAGCTTTAAATTCGTTTTTAATACTTTTTTTTACCACAATTGCATTTTCGTTTCCACATAGTTAGATAAGAATAATTCAACAGTGAAGCATGTCCCACTCGCGACAGCTACGGGGGCGGGACAGTTGTCAGAGGTGGGTTTACAGGGCTGATAAGCTTAATTTGTTTATTGAGGTGGACGCAGGTGAGGAGGGGGGAACGCGCGGACTCGCCTATTATCGGTCCCCCCCAAAAATTTGTCGAATTGGTTATTGTGTATAAGCTCGCATACAAACAGATCTGACATTTCTAATCAGCTTTTTAAGAAAAATTCCAAGTATGCAGTTATATAGCCCATTAAATTTTTAGAAAATCGCGTTGATTTTTGGCAATTTTTTTTGTGGAAGGTGTTGCTCATTTTCGACTAATTGTCCAATATACTTTGTATGCAAGAGCTTGCGTAGAAAAATTTCCAAAAATCAACCCGATTTTCTAGCAACTTCAAACTTGCACTTTGTTATACTAAAATTGAATGGGCTAGGTTATAGCTTTTTTAATGCTATTTCCTAAATATTCGCAATTCGCATTCGCACTTTCGCATTCCAAAAATTAGATATACATTATACATTCGTAACGCCCCTGGTATATACATACATACATATTTAGATAAAACAAAGAAAAAGCATACATTTCATTTGCGCAATAAAAGTTGCGTAAAAGCCATGTGAACCCAAGACTATCTATGAATGCGCGTCCTTCTTTCAAATGGCCTTCAAATATATACATATATTATATACATCTTTACTACAGTTCTGATAACATTAACAATTCTGACTTTTGCTGTGTAAAATTACAAAATCGTAAATTAACAAAAATGACAAGAAGAGCATCGCAGCAAAGGTTTTCATTGTTCAAGCTACAATGGGCACATGCACTTTTCTAACTTACAGCATTATATTTTTCAATCATCATACGGGCACAGAGATGCATTCAACGTAAACAAAATTCAATAGCATACACTTTAATACATATGAACGTGCATATATATATGTACATATGATTGTATGAAAGTGGTTGGTATATTGGGTCAGTGCGCGTGACGCAAGAATATCTGATTACATGGAAGCTATTACAGAGCATATAGTTTGCTTGTGC